ACGAGAATCAGCGACAGCAGCATGAACCTCACATAGGGTTTAGGGGTTTAGGGTTTAGGGGTTTAGGGTTTAAGGTTTAGGGGTTTAGTGTTTAGGAGTTTAGGGTTTAGGGGTTTAGGGGTTTAGTGTTTAGGAGTTTAAGGTTTAGGGCTTAGGTATCTACCGGACATGTGCACCTGGCTGCAGAAGAACGACGTTTGCCCCAGCCTCGGCCACTCAGCAATGTGCCTTCGTCACTCAATCGTGCGAAGTCCAAAAGCACCCCACTGCCAGATTCAGCCGTGACAACTGCTGGCTGCTGAGAAACAACTTGTGAACATCGGTTATTCCATGTCAGTCCCCCTGGCGACCGGTGGTCGTAGCACGTGCAAGCACGGCACTCCAACATACCAAAGCAAAACGTCGTAGTTTCTGAGGCCTGGGCTCTTTGCAAGTTGGGCAGCACAGGCGATTCTCGGACTCGCGTCCGCAGCCCTGGAAACAGGGAGCCATGACCCCCAATGCATGTTCAGTTGATATCGGACTATGGTCGGGCCTGGCATGCCATGCCCCGAGTTTGTGTCAAGAAGGCCCTCGACACTCTCCCATGGGAAAGAGGCGCGAGTCCATTTTCTGCGACTGGGAGCTGCCGTTTGATGTTTGGTTTTCTTGCTAGCGGGTGCGCGCGGTGCTTCGTAAGCCAGCATGCCCTCCTGTCGAGGTCGTCGCTTCATGATTCATGATGGCTCCTTGCCTTATGGAACAAGGCACTGAATTTGCACTCGGCACGGGACATGGCAATGTGCATCCAAGCTCTCAACCTATGCCACCACACGATGCTGAAATACAACACGTGCCAATCACTAATAACAAACTTGCAGAGAGGCACAGTGGGTATGCAAGTCTCATACATAAACGGTTTAGGGTTTAGGGTGTAGGGTTTAGGGTTTAGGGTAGCAAACCACTCGAACTCTTGCTACCCTCGGTTGAACCTGACGCAACTGAACGCATCTGGAACCAGGAGCCATTCTTTATCCCCACGATCTCGAAAAGCATGTCTTGAACCCTCGGAAGCCACAAGTGACGCTCTATCGAGTGCACATGCTTTTACTTTCCTTGCACGATCCAAAGCCCGGTGATGGCAGTCAGAGGACTCGCGAAACCTGGGCCGGAAGCTTTCAAACTGCCATAAACCATGTCAGGATCTGCGCACGGCTAACCACAGAGGATGTCAAATCAAGTGCTTCCTACGATGCGACGCAACATAGTTGTAATCCTGAGTTGTGGGATATTAGGAAGCACAAATGGGTGGCGTTCGGGGACCAACGTGCCCCAAAGAATACGCACAGAACTTGTCCACTGCTTGTCCCTCCACCTCATATTCTGTTGCAACGTGTACGAAACTCGCCATGCTTGTGACGATGCCAACATGGCAAAGTCTGCCTGTTCAAACCGATTGAGAAGGCCCCGTGCATGAGATATTGGACAAGAGATTACCATAGCCACAAAGTTATGGAAGCCCCTTTAAACCAAAGTTTTGCGCTCGATGGTGTCGCTTCGGAAAATATCAAATTTCGCAGGCTTTGTTTGCACCAAAACGACAGGTTACCCTTTTCAAAGTGTTTGACAATGTCAAGACAAGCTTTTTGCGCCTACCCACCTTGGCTTGTACTCTAAGCCTTACGAAGCACCTCTCCCGGCACATGTGTGTGTCAGCCCAAAAGCTCCGATCTCACAAGCAAGCTAGGAAAGCAGGCTGTGCAGCAACCCTAAACCCTAAACCCTAAACCCTAAACCCTAAAACCTAAACCCTAAACCCTAAACCCTAAACCGAGAATCCTGCGTCTCCCGATTCCTGCTTCGACGAGCTCTGCGGGAGGCATCTGCCGCGCTGGGGGCCCAACGCGAAGCGGTCGGTTCTTCAGTTCGTTGCCTCTGCCAGTCAAACGGAGTGGCTGTTCTTAGGGTCTCCACCGTAGTGGAACCCGGCCAAGAGCTTCAAAACGATGCACCTGCAAGGGACATGAAGATCAGAGCTAGGCACGGAGCGCGGTGAGCGGGGACGGGAACATGCGGAGCAAGAGGGCAACCCACAAACCCGGAGGGATCCTCGTCGCAGACTTCGGCCAACGTCGCCATCCCAGCAGACTCTTCCTGGCCGGGCTCAGCAACCGTGAGGCCAAAGACCCGCAGCCCATCTTCGCGCAAGCGCCGAAGATCTTGAAGCAGAGGAGGCGAAGGTGCCTCCACCTCACCATCGGTGACGAGCAAGACGTCAGCAGCGCGCCACTCGTCTTGCAGCCGGCGCGCGCTGGCAGCCAGGGGCGTCTCGAGGTCCGTCCCGCCACCGAAGGATCTGCTCAGGAACGCGAGAACATCCTGCCAAGCTTGCGCCGGGATGGGTGCCAGCGGGACTTCAAGCTCTTCAAGGTCATCTGGGCCCGAGAAGAAGTAGAGGTAGCAGGGACGCCTCTCGGCTTCAGCGAGCATCAAGACCTCCAGCACGGCTGCCTTGGCAATGGCCTCCCTCCTTCCCGCCATGCTCCGAGAGGTGTCCACGCAACAAATCAGAGGTCCCCTCTCCTGGGCCGGGCGGAACTCCCTCCACCTCAGCGTCTCCGCCTCCTCCTCTACCCAGGCGCTCCTCTCGTAGCTGAGCAGCGCCGCCTCAGCGCGCCGGAGGCGGAAGAGCGCCCGGGCGCCCGCGGAGCTCGGCCGCGGCGGCTGGGCGTTGGCAAAAGCCAGGAGGGAGAGCTCGCTGGGCAATAGGAGCAGGCTACCATCGGAACGGGTGATGCCCGAGGTCTCGAAGGGGCTTTTGTCGGAGCGCACGACGCCCTCGGCCTCCTTGGACCTCGCGCGCTGGGCCCGGTCGAAGCGCAAGGAAGCCTTGAGGCCGCTGCGCCGGCCCATCCTGGGTTCTTGTTAAGGGATTTGATTTAAGTTACCATAATAAGGAAGCCATATTATTTGCTATAGATCCCTATTATGGTAAGTTAAATTAAATCCTTTAACAAGAACCCAGCATCCTCTTCACCAAACCCCTCAGCTCGGGAAGCCGGCCCAGCAGCTTCCGGAGCACCAGAAGGTGCTCCCAGCCTAAGGGCTCCGACCAGGTCCCCGGCTCCGTCCCGGTGCAAGCAGCGAAGGACTCCTTCGAAGACGTCTCCGAGTTGCTGTCCTCCGAATCCGAGGGCGCCCAGGACTGCAAGCGAGGCTTCGCGGCCTCTGCTGCCAACTCTCGCCAGGTCTCCACAAACTGACGGGTCAGCTGCTCTGCAAGCGACTCCTCCGAGCCGCTGCCCTCCCCCTCGCCCTCTGCTTCGAGCTGCTGGGAGCCATCGGCAATTTGCCCCTCCTGGTCCTCCTGGATGTTCTGCAAGTTCTCGGCTTCGCCGGCTTTTGCGGCGTCCTCTCAGGAAAATGCTGCTTCCAGGACAAGCTCCCACAAGAAGCCCTTCTCGCGTGCTACAGAGACCCAAACCCCCCAAATCTTCGGCAGCAGAAGGAGATGCCAGGACAGGTCTCAGATGGAGTTTCTGCCCCTTGGAGCATAAGCACACTTAAGGAAAACCGGAGTTGAAGAGTCAGCTTCCCGGCTTGAGCTTGAGTATGTCTGAGTATGTACATACAGACAAGCACATGCTTGTGACCCTTTATGCAACTCCACGATGCAAGGATTGCAACTCGAGCCAACAGACTTTGTGAAGCCTAGAGTGGACCCAAAATCCTCAAACCCTAATGCTCGAAATCACAAACCCCGATATGCCGCACACTAACGCCTTTAAAAGCCTAAGACGACTGATTGTAGCTTCCACTGTGAGCCCTGGAAAATGCCCAAACACTTACCAGAACCCCAAACTTCCAACCAAAGCCTAAACCCAAAACCTCAAACCCTAAAACCCCAAACCCCGACCTTCTCAACCCCAAAACCGTCAACCCCCTAAAATCCCAAGCCACAAAAAGGGCCTCCTCGCTGGAGTCGCCATCTGAGTTGGAGAGGGCACTGAGCTCTGCAGCTGCAGCTTCCTGGGCTCCAAAGCTTCGGGTTTCTCTTTTGAGGCTTCGGGTCTTGGGAACTGGATTCGTAGGGTAATTTGGGGAGTGGTTTATAATTATATAAAAGGGATTCATAAGGGCTTCATAGGGGGTTTCTTAGGGGTTTTATGGCTGGTTTCCTAAACCCTAAACCCTAAACCCCAAATCCCTAAACCCCAAACCCCTAACCCCTATAAACCCTAAATCCCCTTTTGTAGGGGTCTTACAAAGCTTTTGTGCGGGTTAAGCAAAAGACCTTTTGGGTTCCAGGAGAGTTGGCTTACCTAAATTACCAGAAAGAAGGAAGGCCAGGGTGTTTGAGGGTTTAGGGTTTAGGGTTGATCTCTATTCAGGCAAATCAAAGGGCATGCCTTACCAAGAGCCCAGCTTCTGATGGCTCGGCCTCAGAGCCGTCTTCGGGCTCTGCCGTGCTGGCACTGGAAAGAAAGGACCACAGGGAGGGGCTGCTGTTGGATTGCGAGTCCCACTGGCTTTCAGAAGCTTTCACCGCCTTCTGAAAAGTCTCCACAGCCTGCAGGACGTTCAGCAGAACCGTGTCGACCAGGTTGGGCTGCTCAGACAACAACGTCGGAAGATCAATCTCCCGAAGACCCATCAAGAGCTGCCTGCGAAGCGGTTCGGGAGGCCAGGTATGGTTGCTGTCTCCGGGCAACTGCCCCTGAATTAAAGAGGAGCGCCACTCAGTGAGACCGTCAACCGCGGCCTCCACATCGGACGGCTTGCCGCAGCTTCGCGCCAAAGCTGCCCTAAAAGCAGCTAGCTCTGCCGGCATCCGCAAAAGAGCATCCGTCACGCTGGGCTCCTGGCAGTCTGTCGTCGCATGGCGGCAGGCGCGCTGCCAGCCGCGCCTCCGAAAAGCCAGCGAGCCGCAAACCGCGGCCGCGGCAGAAAGCGCTTCCCTCCCTTCGACTCGACCGGCACGCAGCTGACAAAGAGGATCTTTATGAGAACCCAAAAGAGGGCTTTCATAAATCCCCTCCTTGGGAGCCCTAAGCCCCGGCAACGGCCGCGTCCCGAGACTTCGCGTCGTCCACAGCTGCTGCGGCTCCAGCCTTGCCACCTCCATGCTTTCCTGCTGCACTCATGTGGGAACCTGATTAAGAAACCTTGGGTCTTCTTTTGGGTTCCTTATATGAATCCCTAATGTTTTGGGGTAAATAGGGCCAGGGTTTAGGGTTTAGATTAGGTTACTTTGAGGGGTACTACGAGAGGCTGCTTTTTATCCTTAAGTAGGGGATACTGTTGTATGTAGGTTTCGGCCACGGTTGCAACCGACGAAGACTCATCATTGCCCCAAACGCAGTCAAATTGGTAGGAGGTTCTCATAGCATGGACCTGAGCATGGCAAGTCAATCCGAGAAACGGCTGCCAGGGTCCCTTGATAAGCTGGACGAATTGGAATTTTGGTTACAGCAACATCCGGCAGCAAGGTAAAAACTCCTAAGATCCGCATAGCATAGGAGGGTCTGTCAGCTCGGCGGCTCCCACTTTTTGTCAGGATGGTGCATCAGGCTCTCCGCCCACTATGGATCTATGGCGACAGGCTTTGCACTCTCGCGCTCATCGCTTCAAAAGACACCCCGGCAGCCCACAAGCACAAGAAGCCAACAGTCCAGTAGTCTGTTGCAGCGACTTCCACGAAAAGACGTGATTTTCGGGTGGACCTGTGCTCGGTGTGGCTGCGGCATGCCTTAAGGCACATTAACACAACGGCCGAATTGCTCCAGGAGCTTGTGTCCCAGAGGCGTCGTTAACGATTGCTGAGCGGCATCGGCGTTTCCTGCTGGACAAGGCGGCTCGCCTGACACCTACACCGTTGCCAAAATCGTTCAGTCAAAAGCCAAACTTCTGAAAGCTTAGAGACACGAGGCCTAAATCCCCAGACTAGAGTCCTTCTGGGGCAGCACAGGTACCACCAAGAAGACAAAGGAGCTGCCACCCAGAAGGAGCAGTCCTCGGCAACACTGCAGCTGACGCCAGCAGCCAACAGCATGTTGGGATTCTTTGTCGATGAACCCTTTACAATGACTTCCTACTACTAGCACATCTAAGTATTCCTAATGCCATAGTGATACTATTACTATGAATACTACTATGGTTATGACGATGACTGTTGTTTCAAATCTTGTTCCTGCTGCTGTTTGGCAGCAGGCTGCTGTGGGCCTTTGCGAAGCCCGCTTTTCCACATAGCTTTCTAACACCCTCGAATACTTCCACGGTTCACACAGCAGTACAACACCAACAAGCGCTGTAAGCCCTACGCTCTGAAACCTGAACCCTAAATCGGAAACCCTCCTGAGTGGCGGAGTTAGGGATGCGGCTTTGGGGTTCGGAGCCCTAAACCCTAAACCCTAAGCCTTTAAGCCCTAAACCCTAAAACCTTAAACCCTAAAACCCTAAAACCCTGAAACCCTAAACCCTAAACCCTAAAACCCCTAAACCCCAAACCAAAGCACGCAAAAGTCTGGAAGCCGAGGCCCCCGGCAAGCGCAAGCAAAAGATGCCATCCTCCCTGAACCCCTAAACCCCTGAACCCTTAAAATTACTCTAAAACCTATAAACCCTAAACCCTCAACCCTAAACCCTCTAAACCCTAAAACCCTAAGCCCTGCGCCCTGAACCCTAAAACCCTGAAACCCTAAACCTTAAGCTTTCGCAAAGGCGCCGATTCGAAGGGCTCGGCCACGAAACTGCTCCTGCAGGTCCCGCCACTTCGGCGGAGACCCCGGGTAGCGCTCCAGGAAGAGGGCAACCTGCTTGGGGTTTAGGGTTTAGGGCTTTAGGGCTTTGGGGTTTTGGGGTTTAGGGCTTTAGGGCTTGAGGTTTAGGGGTAAAAGGGCATTTAAGAATTGTGTTCGGGAGTTGGGGGGGGGGTCTGGTGACAAGCTCTTGCTGGTGGTGCCGCCCTCACCAGTTACCTAGTAACTTAAAACCCTAAACCCTAATGCTCTCGAACTCCTAGTAGCTTAGCACCTCCTGCATCATGCCTGGCACCTCCTCCCTAGTAGGGTTTAGGGTTTAGGGTTTAGGGGCCCTAGGACCTCTTGCAAAGACTGCTTGCTGCCTACCAACGATTGCTTCACTTACTCCCTGCGTGCTACGTACCTACTACAAGAAACGAGTACCACGACCGACCCCCATTCCTTAGTCCTAGTGCTAGTCCTACTTTTCATCCTCCTCGTCCTCTTCCTCCTTGTTCCTTCTTTAGAGAAGGAAAGAAGAAAGCGAGGGAGGAAGGAAGCAGGGCATCCCCTGGCAAGTGCACGAGGGGCCCCTGCAGGGATTAAGAATATGGCACGAAGCTGAGGTGGTGAAAACAGGTTTAGGGTTTAGGGTTTAGGGTTTAGGGTTTAGGCAAAACTGATCGCGGCCAAAGCGTGGGAACAAATGCGTGTGCCTGTCGCAGCTACGTGCCGCAACGAAGCTGGGCTTGTGTTCAAGAAAAGCTGCTTCAGATTGTACTTGCGGCTGTGCTCCCCTGCGAAGGACTCCACGCGTGCAACATTTCCCGAAAACGGCAGCCTTCAGCCAACGCTGTCCCAAAAGCAATATGGGGGTTTCCCAAAACAGGGGACCCTCATATAGTACCCTAAATAGTAGGATCCTTATTATAAGGACTCCAAAATAAGGTACCCTCTTATTTTCGGAAACTCCCATATGCCCCGGAAGAAAAACTCCCTACCAACCTTGTGCCCCGAGTGTCACAAGCGTCTGGTGTTGAGGCGACCGAGAAGCCGTGCCCACATTCATGACCTGAGCACGCAAAACTCGAATAGAAGACTTTGAAGGCCTGGGGTTTTAGGGTTTAGGGTTTAAGGTTTTAAGGTTTTAGGGGTTTAGGGTTTAGGAGCCTAGGGTTTTAGAATTCAGGTTGCAGGGTTGAGGAGTCTTCCCACCTTTTGGAGGGGCTTTCGGTGTCTGTGACGGGTTCGCGTTTTGAGCTTGGAATCTGAGCAGTCGCCTCATGCGCAGAAGCTGTGGGGGGAGGGAGGGAGCGGGGGCGTGCTCGCAGGGCTTCGGGCTAGACCCAGAGAGCCCAATACCCCTTAATTCAGGAATATGCCTTAAATCGTAATTTTAAGGCCCCTATAATAGGCCCTACAATTTACGGTGTATTCCTTATTTAAGGGGTATTGGGCTCTCTGGGGAGGGCCTTGGTGTGGAGCTCGAAGGGGTAACGCTGAACCCAAAGCCGAAGTCTGGCTAAGGCTCGGGGCTTCAGAGCTTGCAGCAGGAGAGCTTGAATAGGGTTTAGGGCTTTAGGGTTTTAGGGCTTTGGGGTGTAGGGTTTTAGGGTTTAGGGGTGTAGGGTTTAGGGGTTTAGGGGTGTTTGGGGTTTAGGGGTGTAGGCTTGTAGGGCGTCTTGGGGGTGTTTGGGGTCTTTGGGGGCTTATTCGCCGGAGATC